ACTGCTAAACCGTGGTCAGCCACTGTCTGAATTTTTTATTGTGTGGTAATATTGCAGCAATAATTTCTCATATTATGATTCCTGTTGAATGTGAACGATACTGAATACGAATATGTTGGTAGGATCATTTCATTGTTGGATTTGGTCTTTTCATGGGAAAAATATAGAATACCAGCAGACTTATCCTTTAAAATTAAGCTCACTGGTTGATCCAAAGGGAGTCACACATCTCTTTACAGCCTATTTTTCTTAGTTAAAAGTGCAATTAGGCAAGACAATCTAAAAAAAAAAGTATGAGAAAATACAGCACATAACAATTTAAAATAATTTGTAATCATTATGCATTTGACAGGAAGTCCTTTGACCTATCACTGCATGTTTATCTGCACACTGACAAACATATGAGGGCACTGATAGTGGTTGCCTAGTCAGACATGTGATTTGACTGTTGACGTACAATATCCTGACAGACATCCTGTCAGTCCATCAGTAAGAATTGCACTACAGTATTACAGTAGTTATAACAGGCCACAAGCTTCACTCCCAAATATAATGACAGTAAAGATGTTTGTTTTATCAACTACTCAGGCTTATGACTTTATTTTCCAGATGAAGTGTCTCTCTTCGATGAAAAAAAAACTTAGATGATCTTTAGGAAGTTGTGAAATAAATGGCGAGGGCACAAAAGCCAGCTGTGCAACCATAAAGTCAAAACACAACCATAAACATGGTATCGTTTCTTCCATTACCATTTACTAGTCACTATTTACCCAGTGCACATGTACAACTCAATTTGCTTCAACAAGGTTAGACTATAAACCAACACTGGCAGACTGGGAGGCCATTTGGAATATGTCCAAGTCCCATATCAACACAGTGTTGCAGCCGGACAGAAGAGTTTACAGTGGCAACAGCTGACAGGTGATCATGACATGTATCGGGGCAGGAGACACACACAGAGGGTAGAGGTTCTGTCTACATAAGAACCAAATATTCACAGTTAGAAATTATGGTGAGTGGACATTGGTTATAAATAGGTTTTATTACACTGCCGTTTTAATAGTCCAAGCACCACTTAGTTTAGTGTGAATGTTTGCCAATATAAACTTCCACCTCTTCAGTAGCAATTACTTAGCAGTACAGCGTCATCACATCGCCAATGCCCAAAAGTAAAACCTCGGTTTATTACATAGCTTAATTTGTACTGTAATATTGTACAATGACTACCAGAGAGCATCAGGCTATTAGCTACTGCACGCCAGCTGGTACTGGGCAGCACCTGGGCTAAATTAACAGCCAGATCACAAAAGATAATTCATGGAGTCAGTGTGTGTAGGATTAAACTTCCAGCCTTGAACAGTGTGGAGGGTAAAATGTTTCTTGACAGTTTTATGTAAAGTATCAAGCTGGCAATATTGTATATTGTTTTAATATCAATAAAATCAACAATTCACTTTCAATAAACTTTCAAAACTCTGTTTGAAGGCGTATTTAATGGTTTCATACAATGTTCTCTTTGTACCTGCATCAAACCATCAACAGCCCTCCTCTTCCTCTTTATGTAAGAACAGATAGGATAGATAACTAGAATATTGTAGTAACAGTGAAGGTTAATTCACACATAGGGCAACAGTTATATTTGGCACCTGTCAGAATTCAACACCATCATCTTGACAGGATGAGAGATGGAGGTGCAGGCGTTCAGGCCATGGGGGCCAAGACACTGCAGGCCACTTTCCATCAATATACAGAGCCAGGGCCATTCCCCCTCTATAAAACACAAGGGGCTCATAGCCACAAGAACATCTATTTCAAATAAAGACAAAGAAAACTAACATTAATCGACTTTCCCTCTTTGGAAGACCTGGGACTGGTGCATGAAAAAAAATCGGCTCCTCAAACAACAGCAAAATAACATGGCAACTGTGTTACTTTTTTTGCCAGTCTGTGAAGGAGAAATGAACATGAAGAGGAAGAGGAAACAGCAGCACTCAAGCAACAGGAGGGCTATTACAAAAACACACACTTACTGAAACAAAATGTCATGCAGACAGAACAACCTGTTGAATAAGCACTGGAAACTGGGCAGCTGAACTAAACATAGAGGATGAATGGATGAAGGGAGGATAAAATATATAGATTCTTGTACCAGACAACATGAGTTACAGAAGCTTTGTTTAGAACTAAATACAGGCTGTAAATAAAGATCTTTAAATGTAAAAGAATGCATTGAAATGAATGGCAATGACATTTTTTAGAATGTGTGAGGGTGTACTATAATGTCTTTTCTTAACAAACGGCAGAGCTTGAGCATTTGTTCAGTCCAACAGGCAATGCCATCTGGTCATTATCATCACCACAGGGCAGCATGACTGTAAATAGAAATACAAGAAACATGTCAGGAATATGAGACATAATAGCACGTGAAGCACACAAGAAAATGCTCAGTGGCTTACCGATGGGATGTCCATTTTTCATTTAATTTTAGTCCATAAAGGTTGAATGGTTTCAGCATTCATAGTTTTGTGGCTTTCTTCAGCCTGCAGGTTGGGTATAAGGGTATTCCACACATCCTATTTTAGAAGATGATCATATGCATAACCTTAAATTTACTATTTTTAGTGCAGTAGAAGACATCTTATATTCAGTAGTTAAACTTAAAAAACTTAAAAAGCAAATTAAAAATGTTTTCATGTTGATAAATTCTAGATTTTTCAATGAGCATAGACACGGAGTAGATGTTATGTAATCAATTCTTAACTAAGCAACTGTAGTCTTTTGTGGAAAAACTATGCCAGACACAACTTTTGTATTTGTATATCTTTGAAAATATGAGGATCTTTAATTTGACAAATAACTAGTTAATAAAATGGGCCGTTAGCTCTTGAGTAAATTTATTCTGCAAGAAACCCACAAAGACATACGCAGTAATCAGACTGAAATCCATTCTTCACTACTTTGTCATCTGTAAGCTTTGAGGTGTGAAGATGTGCCAGTCAGGACAATCCAACAACAACTGTCAACAGCAACCCTGATTTGAATTCCTCTGCAGTCACTGCAGCCATTAGCGATTCTCACACTTTGTGTCAGGACAGACCGCAGCTATTATCCCACAGTGCTTAGCTCAGCTCCACTGCTCATCAGGTACAGCAGCCCCCTGGAGAGACAGTGTATGGGTGCATATTAAAAGTGTGTGTCAGTGGAACGGCGGTTATAATGTTCCCTGCGGCTTATTGTGGTTCCACGCTGATGGCTAACCTAACAAGGCAGTGAGTCGCAGACTGTGAACAACGCTAGTCTCAAGGGAAATTTAGGAGTCTCACGAGTCAGGCTCACTCCTCTAAAACAAACTCTGACAAACTGGAGGAAGGCAGGATTCATTCTCACACAGTTACAGGCAATGCATCACATCTAATTGGACACCAAGGACAGCTGAAGGTGATTCACACAGAGTCATGCATTGCCATGTGTGACTGAACTGATCTATAAGCTGCTCTCATTACAGTTTGCCAAAGGGATATCTTTATCAGCTTAAAGGCAGATAAACATTTTTCATTTCTTCAGAATTAACACCATAGAAAATCCTCAGCTCAGGCTTTTGACCTTTTGTGACTTTGCTTTTATTACAGGAGAAAAAAACAACAACAAACTGATAGTGGAGAAACAGTGACTGCATGGACTCCCACCCCTGGCTGACATCCATACTAAACAGTCAATAATGTATACTATACACCTATACTGCTGCATGCACTGAAGGTTTTTGTCCTGCTCTGTGATCTTTATTTCTGTTTATTTTATTAAATTTAAACTTATTTTTTAACTATTTTATTGTATTCCTTTTGTATCCTAAACATTGTATTTAATATTGTCTTGTATTTCTTTCATATATACCATTTAAATATTGTTTTAATGCTTTATATAAAGCATTGGAATTGCCCTGTCCTTGAACGGTGCTATGTAAATAAATGCGCCTTTCCCCGCCTTACCAGAATTGATCCATGAGTCCACTGTAATTGTGTTAGAATTCTCGCATATTCTGCACAGTGAACAATATATATATATATACAATATAAACAAAATTACAGACATATGTGAAGCATTTTTCAAAACAGGAAACTGAATAATACAAACCTGATTATAGTAAACCAATAGCTTCACTGTGAATTTAATAGAATATTATCTTCCATCTCAACAAATGTAACCTGAACATTACATAAACTTCCATTATCCATTTGTAGGTGGTTGTTCTCATATTGGCACATAAAAAAAGAGATCCAGGAAGTAAATATGAATATAAATTACATATGTTTATTACTCATCAGATATGCAAGGTGGCATTCCTGTCAAACATATTCCTACAAAAGGATGTCAGAGCATGAATAATCAGAATTTATGACACTTCTTGTTGTTTAACAAAGGTTTGTGTATTTATGGGATCAGGAGAACCAGAGTTCATAAATCAACAACAAGGGAAGGATGGGTTTGACTCTGTTATGCTGCAACAGCAGACTCCGTAGGTACTGAACTCTTTGCTGGAACACAATCTAAATAGAGCTGAAGAGATTTCCTCATATCTGTCTCCATGTCCTTATATTGTCAAAACAATGATGAGGGCAGACTCTGTGACTGTCTGACATTATAATCAGGACACTGCTCAAACATTTTCACTCTCTGCTGGCTGTTTATTCACTTTCAGATATCACCTCCTTTCTCCCCGTACACTGATTTACATGCTCTGCCATCATTGGGTCCCTGGATGTTACACTTCAACAGGCTGCCTTCTGCTGATTGGCTGCAAAGGCAGGAGGGCATGGAAGCTCTCTCGTCAAAACAGGCATAAAAGGCAGTGTGTGTGTGGATTCAGGCACAGAAGAGCGTCCAACAAGCAACTTTGAGTAGTGTTGACAGAGAGCCGCGGCCAACTTAACAAAACTCGGAGGTGGGAAAGAAGAAGAAGAAGACTCACAAAAACCAGTGGAAGGGGAGAGTTTTAAGAAAAACTATTTCGAAAAGTAGAAGTCAGTGACTGGGGAAATTTTCAGTTTTACAGCAGCTGTTGGAACAGGACATTTTCTTTACTTCTTTTTGCAAGACTAAAAAAAAAACCCAGCATGTCTCTGGAGGTGAAGGAGAAAACCCAGGTGCGTTTAGTGTTTCTGGGGGCAGCAGGAGTGGGCAAGACAGCCCTGATCCAACGTTTCCTCCAAGACACATTTGAGCCCAAACACCGGCGCACAGTGGAGGAGATGCACAGCAAGGAGTACGACATCGGTGGGGTCAAGATCACAGTAGAAATCCTGGACACCAGTGGCAGTTACTCCTTCCCAGCAATGCGCAAGCTCTCCATCCAAAACAGCGACGCCTTCGCTCTGGTGTACGCAGTGGATGACCCAGAGTCACTGGAGGCTGTCAAGAGCCTCCGAGATGAGATTTTGGAGATCAAGGAGGACAAGTACACACCAATCGTGGTGGTGGGGAACAAGATGGACCGCGAGAAGGAGCGACAGGTGTCCAACGAGGACGTGCTGTCAACTGTGGAGATGGATTGGAACAACAGCTACCTGGAAGCTTCGGCGAAGGAGAACGCCAACGTGGTGGAGGTGTTCAAGGAGCTCCTGCAGCAGGCGAACCTTCCCAGCCGCCTCAGCCCAGCGCTTCGCAGACGCAGGGAGACCTTTCCGAAAGACACCAACTTCCGGCCGCCCATGAACAAGACTAACAGCTGTATTCTGTCGTAATGGGAGACGAAGGAGAAGTGTTGCTTTATTTCATGAAGGGACACAAGATGAGAGGATGGAGGGTATGATTTGTAACTCAGTGCTGTTGGACAGAGAGAATGAGAAAAGGCTGACTGACTTCAGTTAGTGGGCGTTTAAAGTGAAGAGCTGACTGAGATCAGAGATTCTTGCCCAACGGAGACACCTCAGGGTTCACAACTGAGAAACATGAAGAGGTGAATGTTGACTGAACTTGAACAGACTGCCAGTGGAAAGACGGAAGATGCATTAATTACTCAGTTGTTTACTTCATGTAATGTTGTTGCTGCTTATTTGGTGACATGCTGCTGGTGTTTAGATCAATGTATAGGATTTGGAGTTTAAATTAAATTGTTCACTTACATCACAGATAGTAAGACTGTTGCCAACAGATTGTTTACTGAGAGAAAGTGTGTATATATGTGTATGTTGTGGTATGTGCAAAAGTTTTATGTCTCATGTATTTTTTTTTAATAATTCACCTGTAGCACATCTTAATGTTTACAATTTGTTGTATTCAATTCCAATGTTGCCATTGAGCATGACATTATTCTTATGTTTTTAAAAAAGTAGTGAAATGCAAATGTAAACTGTAAATGCACTTTTTCATGACGAAATGACCATTCAAATGTTTTTTTTAGCTTGTTTTTTTAATCGATTAGATTTTTTTATCATGGCAGATTCTTACAAATGTTATTATTTTGCTGTTTATTTGACAAATGTGAGTGAATTGTGGATGTAAATGTGTAATAAAAAAGAGAAGCATACAACAAGTGGAGTTCGTCATGTGAAATTGATGTTCATGTAGCTAGATGTATACATTATGTATTAATTTATTTTAGGTAAATAATTATGTAAATCAGGTAAGTAATTCAAAGTAAATAATGAATTGATCATCAATTACAAGAAAATTTGAATAATGCCTTTAAGAAATCAGGTCAGTGCAGCAATGAATAACAATATGTATAAATAAATGAACAAACAACATTAATAAAATACATCAAGGTCACAGAAGATACCATATCAAAGCTACAGTATATAGTACTGTATCATAGGACTGCTGTCATTTATATAAAATGTACACGTTTGAAGCTGGAATAGTTATGAATAATATCCTATTCCACCTAAAACCGGATTTTTACAATTACATTTGAGAGCTGCATTCTTCATGGGATCAGGAAATCTTTTTGAAGAGGGGACCATGAATATAGATTACTTTGGGTGGGTTCCCAGCATGCCTCTGCTATTACATCTACTGCTCCATTTGATCCAAAATTTGACAAAATAAGTCAGTAAATGCCAACAAAAAGTATTCACTGTTTCTTTGGGTATCGTGCTGTATTTTAAGATATCTGTCGCCATCTGTTGATGAAAAACACACATTACATTCACTGAAACTACAGTAGTAACACCATACTATGTTGTGTCTATCATCATATCTCCAATGAGGCATCAACATACAGTAAAACTGTGAAATTATATGTCATAAAATAAAAGCCCAGTGACTTTGACTCAAATCTCAGAGTTGAAATGCTTTGGTTTGTAACTTGAAGTATCCTCTCACAAACTCACTGCCTTGTGTTTCTATCCTCGTAGGTTTCACCAGTGTTCTGATAACAATATAAATGTGTGCTGATGTTACTGTCCATCATCAGTCTGGAGTGACTGGACTGACTACACAAACGCTTGATGAGGCCTATTGTATTTAAGCTGTCTTTTGTGAACAATAAAACACCATTTGGGGTACAGTAAACAACTGATGCAACACTTTACACATTTCTGATGACTGAAAACAATTCTAACTTAAGATAAGAGCAAGTGTGACCTGCCAGTTAAACTCTCCTAACTGGCTCCAGGCCTGAGGGGACAGCAGTCGGCATTAAGAAAAACAAACTGAACTGCCCTTAAGCATCACAGGATTTGAATACTCAGCTCCTGTTTAACCGGTTGACAAAATGGACCATTGTACAGTTCCTGAAATAGCTGTGCACGGTTCCCCTAAATGCAACCTGCTGAGCGGAGACAGTTGAAGTGCTCAGGTCCAAGCCTCCCCACCACCCCCTACACACTCCACACCATCAGATTAGACTGAACCAAGTTTCCTGTTTTAATTTGAGGAAGTGGCCGAGTAAACGTTTGTGAGCAGTTCCTCTTTCAGTCCACATTTAAACATTCTTCCGCACTCCACTCTATTTCATTTGCGATGGGGAGGGAGGCCACGCAGCTTCACAGTCTGGCAGGTGTGTGGATTTGTCATCTCGTAACACAGAGTACTACTTGAATTTAAGTCTGAGGTGTAGATTTTTATTTATTTATGTATTATTATTATTTATGAGATATTTGAGGATTTTTGGGTCATTTTACATACTACCTTTGATTTACTTTTTTAAATTTTACTTTTATTAGCATTCAATGTTCTGATTTAAGTTATAGTGAATGAGGCCATTCATATGTTCATGACACATTTTCTCAGATGTCTTCGCCCCCGGACTTGGTCAAAGCTCCTCAGCAGATTAAAGAGACTCTGAGGCGTTTAGAACAAGTTCAGGGTCCTGGGCAGAGCACAGCAAGATTATTAAATTGTGTAAAAAAATTTCATCAGTATGTATATAAACTAAGTTGTATTTTAGTCTATTCGGATCACTACAATGTAGGTTTTTGTTTTTTTGTTTTACTTCCTCTGTTTAAGATTAAAAATAACTGCAGACTGACTCACAAGCATTCGTTTTACTCTACTTTATGGGTCACGGGTCAATGTGTGAGATACACTTGTGAATTAGTCATCTATCTATTTACATCTGAATATGATCACCCAAAATGTAATATAAAGGCTAGTACACACATAACAGTGATCATATAGTGTATACCCACAGTGGTTACGAACTTCAGATCTGTGGTACATACTAAATAATTGTAAATGCTAAATCATAACTGGTCAAAAATCAACTAACTCGTTCTTTGTGAGGCATAAGAAACACAGAAGATAAATTAACATTTCATTAACCTTCTGTGTCAGATGTCACACATTAAGCAGGATTTCTTAAAAAAAAAAAAAAAGAATGATAAGAATCACGGAACATTACAACAATCAAATCCCAGCACCCTGTGCTACATTACACCAAACCTTTTTTCTACACTGTACTGTGTTTCCTGATAAGTGCTGTACTGTATAATATACTGAACCATAAAATGACACCTCATTCAATGCAGAGCTCTTTGGCACAGGACTTATGATAGACACTTTCATCTAACTATAGCTGAACACTGCAGCTTGACTTTTAATACTTCTCCATGCTTCATAAGTCAAGCCTCCTCCGCTCTGACTGAAACTGCTACTGAAAGTTTAGGTTTAGGTGTGAAGCAACTGTACTGTAGATTTCTGTACAGTTCCAGAATATTTTCACATTTAAAATGCAAACCATGTGTGTCCTCACTAATGCCAGCTGTGATGCTACGCTGCATTTATCCAGTTATTCAAATATATCTAAGCAATTGTCACTTTAAATCTACATGGTTCAAAGAAAATGACAGGACTTTACTCACCCAAGAATCATTTTTATTTGTCAAACTCTACAGCATACTGATAGGCTGCACACATTACATTATGTTGTGCTATTCATGTTTTCAGGTGGTAGGAAGCATATATTAGTTGAGTGAAATAGTTTGCATTGTTTGTACAGTCCCACTATGTAACATATCAGAGGAATAAAGCAGAGTTTGACTTGCTTTGTATGAAACACAGTAAATAAAGCCAATTTCTGTCAACATGTTTATCAGGAAAACAAAGAGAAACAACAGATTAAAGCAGAAACTGCAGTAAACTTGATTCTTGGTCATCAATGTGTGTGTGTATGCAGGAATGTAAGTGTGTGTGTTGCCTCAGTCATCCACAGCGATGTTGCGGAACAGATAGGCCATGGACTCTCCGTTGTGGATGCGCCGGATGGCCTCAGCCAGGATCATACTGACATCCACAGTTTTGATTTTTGGACACTGCAGCTTCTGCACCTCATGAGGCACAGTGTTGGTCACAACCACCTGGAGGCGCAATACAACAGATTTAGTGCCTTTTGGTTAGTCTTTTTCCTGTGAGGACTTTGCAGCACAGAGTCTAGGCTCTCAGGCAGCTCTCCAACTTCTTCTCAAGCTAAAATTGACAAATTATGAGACCAACTATGGGACTTCTTATGAATTTTGCCACATGGAAATGCTATAATCACATAACTGCATATAAAGAAACCCCAAACTAATTTTACGTAATTATTTAATGTCAATACCTCCCTCTCATGACATAAAATTCCCCTATAATTAAAGCCAATCCTGTCACTGTATCTTACCAACAAAGTTGTTGAGAAGCAGAATTCAGGGGAAAGTCCCCTATACCTTTTGAAAAGGTTTATAATAAAGGAACTCTCTAAAAGTCATGTTACTATAAGTTAAATTTTACATTCTTTCTCTAGATTCACACCTCACTGAGACATTAACAAAGCCCCCAGATAACCATGAGACCAATCTTTGCTTTAGAAAGACTAATGTGCACGAGTGATTGTTTTACATTTTTTGAGGAGGAAGGTAAAATGCTGATCTGGTCTACAGTATGGACTGTGCATGTACTCAGGTGGGATTGGGTTACGGTTATTGAAGCTTCTGATAATAAAAAAAATTAAAATGAATGAGATTAGTTCACTGAGGGTAGCTATAGGTCAACTTCCGAATTTTGACATACTAAAACAAATTTTCCAAGCACCTTTGAATGTTAATGTCAGTGACAGGATGGGGTGACACAGATAAGTTTGCGATCCACACATTTTATTTTACCTCATCAATGGCAGACTCCTCGATTAGTCTTGGGGCGTCTGCAGACAGTAGGCCATGTGTAGCCATGATGTAGATCTTGTAGGCTCCCCTCTCCTTCAAGATTTCTGCTGTTGCAACAAAGTCCTCTACATCATCTATGATGTCATCCTGAGAAAGTGACCACAGGGTTGAACATCAGACAGCAGAAGGGAAAAAAGGAAAAAGAGAAATATATATATTTGGACTGCTGGAAAACTGATTCTCAAGAGGTTCTATTTTTTGGGTCAGCACATCCTGGTCCGGACAGTTCTGAAAGATGATAGGCTATGGAATGAAGTGGCATGACTAACATGAATCTAGTTTAGTGCAAAAATCCCCAGAAGTATTTGGCCTTGTTTGGATATTTTGTGGTACTTTCCCACTTCAGCAATTAATTTTCTGAATCCCACAAAACCAGTAGAACACCAAACAAATGCCAAATGGAAAATAATCTGTCACAAACATTTGCACATAAGCACCCCCCCACCTAAGCTAACTGGATGATTAATATGTGAAAACCTCACTCTTTCCTTACGACACAGGATTAGCCAAAAATCAAAGCCATTCCTCACACAGAATCTTTCCAATACAGATGTTTTATGACATCCTGTGTTTCATTATATACATATAGTATATAAATATATTTAACTATTAAGTAAGTGTGGGTGGCATTAGTTCCTGGCTTGGAGATCAGAGTGCCCAGCATTCCAGTCCAGCATGGACCAGTCAATGCGGAGGTGGACTTGGGGCTGAAGTGTTACCTCGGGGGCACTCCTGACCCCTAACCACTCACGAGGCTGTACTGCAGCAGACACATCGCATTGTCTGTCCACATCTCTCCACATCAACTGCATGTGTATAAGTTTATGTGTATGCTCTGACCTGCATGTGCGTACATAATTACTACTATTCAAGGGGATATATATTTTATATTTATATTTATTAAAAGTAAATGATATAAAAGCTTACAACAATGATAGCGATTCTGCCTCCAACATCTCCAACAACAGTGATAGGTGGCTTCTCCTTCGCCATCATCACTGAAAAACACAAATGAAGGAAAATTACTTTATGGAGAATAGTGGAGGTCTGTCTTGAAGCTCCAATCAGGAATGGATTCCTGAGGGGAGGCAAAGTTAAGGGAGATTTGGTAAGAAGGGATTTGGTTAAAAACCTGCAAACATCATGCAAGAAAGCTCTACCCCAACAACTTTCCAGCTACCACAGCATCAGTCCTATAAGTGCAGGCCACTGAACACACACTCTGTGGGGCAAATTTGTGCTGAGGCTAAATCCAAACCAAGACTTAAGATGGTTTTACATGGTGCATGGACTACTTTTGGTATAGAAGTAGATGGACAAGTTGGTGTAGAACTTAGAAACCACAGACCAGGATCGATCATTATTTGCAATCTAATCAAACACTATATTTAACAAATAACAATATTGATGTTGAGAAAAGAATAACTTTTCTTTCTGATCTTTAAATTCTGATTTGGGACCCTTTCATATGTGGTCCAAAACAGATACAGGTTAGATTTTATTACATGCAATCTCAGTGTGAACAATTATATCTTAAATCATGTGACTTTTATGTCACTCTAGATCTACATTAATCTTGGGGGTCACTTCAGGACTGTGACCTGGTCACACTGGAATCTAATATGGGCCACATTTACCAAATAATGTAAACAGCCAAACCACAATCAGATCTGAGCAATAAATTATAAAAATTATATTGCAAAAATAAAATCTCTCAACTCCGACATGCACATTCAAATGTTTTACGTACTTGAAGGGATTTCAAGAAATAATCGATCCAGGTCCTGAACCCACCACATCTGACTTGTATGCCCCCCCCACACTGAGTCCCTGACCATACCAGTAACCTTCTTCCAAACAACAGCAAGGCACGTTTAGAGGTCCATTCCCAAATCCATCACAAGACCATCCAGCAAGGCTTCTGTGCAAAACTAAACATTTAAAAATATTTGAATGGTCAAGGAATTTTGGGTTGGAAAGGAAACCAAGAAACTGAATAGTTTTCTTTAAAAAAAAAAAAAAGAAGATAAAAAAAAGATAACCAAGCCCACAACTCAAAACTTATCAAGCAAATGATTATGATGGCATGATTATGTTCATGTTAAGCAAGTAATTAACTACAATCTGTATTTCATAACCTAAATCTAGTAGCAGGGTTAATTACCCACATTTAATTACAGTTTCATGTATCTACTGGGTCTTTACTCTCTTTTTTCATCCCTTAAATTTTAATATTAAGCAGCTAACGTCACAGTTTCTCGACCCAGTAATAATGCTTAATATAACAAGAACAAAAACCATTTTAACTGAGAGGATTTGAGACTGAGGGCTTCCAACAAATATCACTTTGGGGAAAACAAATTTTCATCTTATGATTCACGTGCTTTAATGTATTAGGAAAGGGCAGCTCCCCACTACAAAAACCATGTAAAGTATTTTCCCTTGCCAAAATCAAAGCATAAACAGACAGGCTTTAACAGTCTGCTGTGTGCATATCCTCATATGTAGGGGGAACAAACTTGGGCCAGACATGTTCCAAGAGTTTAATTTACCCATTCATTTAAAATTCTTTGCAAAAAAGTCCCCTATTTGAGGCAGATGTTTTACCATAGCCATTGTATTTCTGTTGAACTGATCTCTTGTTTAAAACACAAAGCGCTGGCACAGAGAACACAGCTGGAAGAAGTAATGCATGTCCTACATTCCTTCATAACCTCAGCGGTAAGCTGGGGTCAGTGTGTGAAATGCCTTACGTCAATAAGGATGCCATCAATATTCAAGACAGCTTTTGATTTAGCTCTAGGAAGGAGCCAAGAATAAAGTGGGCTGACAGTTTTGCTGCATGGGGAGCTGACATGCACAGATCTGAACTTGCAGGGAAATACTGATATACTTTGTATACAGAATTTAGATTCTACATGGTGTGGGACATAAACTCTCCTTTTGCTGGACAAATAGGTTTCATCAACAGTTAAGTTTGCATTGCTGATCCCATATTTCCCATATATAAGTGTCTATAGGAATTTGTTACTATTAGTAAGGGAGTTTTTCTTTTGTTTTTTTGTACTCCTTAGGATGACTGATATAACGAACACCTAATATAGGATTTTTTTATTTAAAATTTTGAAAGTCCAGATGTGAAATGAAGTGGAAGCCCTCAGTAACTCATTCTGTCATTCCATGCAGTGAAGCATAAACAATCAACAGGAAGCAAAAGCGTTATGATCATACTTGGGAGCTCTATCCCAGGGAATGGGACATGATGTCTGTTGCCTGCGTTGGCAAAAGATAGGATGGTACAGAAATTATTAATGCACATTTAGACATACAACAAACAGACAACACACTACAGAGCGCTCACTGATGCCCAAAAACGTCCATCGTTTTTCTGAGGAAGAGGATCGAAATCCCAGAGCAACCGTTTTCAGTGGTAAGAAGCCTTTCTGTACCATGAGTTGACATTTCACATAATCAGTACATGAATAGAGAGAGAGGCGGCTGAAATGAGTGTTGATTCAGCTCCTGCTGGGGAGAAGACGGAGATGGCTGACATAAAACAGTTCCAAGCAGAGGGGGATAAAGAAGAGAAAGAAGGTTAATTCAAACTGAAAAGAGAGCAGACGGGACAAGACTAGATGAGGAGAGAAACAGATCTGGCTGAGGAAGAAAAAAAATAGGCAATGTCTGTCATTGCCTATTTCACAGCTGGCTACAACAATGCCTCGGGCAGGTCTAACCTGAAACATGCTGAGTGTGTGTGTGTGTGTGCCTGCAAGGTCAGCATGGTCATTACTCGTCTTAAGCTGGCCATTTTAGGCAGCTTAAAGAGAGGCTAAAACTGTGAGCAAAGATCAGCCCTCATACTGCTACATACTCAGAGGTATTAGCAAAAGGAAAGGAGAACATATACAAGTATTTTGAAAAAGCTCCCAAGACATCTGTTAGATATTATTTTTAACAATTTGGGGAACAAAACTTTGGTTTATGTTTTCTGTGTGGCTAGAGACACATACCTTGGCCACACAGCTCAAAATTCAAAAAACTCTAATGGCTCTGTTGGAAATTTAGCTCTCCACATCACCCAACAAAATATCTGAAGTGGCTAGCAGTTATAGTTCCAAGAAACCTTGATAGGAATGGAAAGTTCCCCCGTCTGCAGTGGAAACACTCCATCATTTTAAAGCCATTAACAATTTATAACATTCCTGCAGATTATGGTTGCATTCTAGTCTACGGTTGTCTTTATGCCTTGCTCTTGTGCTTAATGAAACTTTAAACGATTATCATAATTTTTGTAACATTGTTTGTATTGATATTTAAAAAAAAAGATTAATAGTAGATTAGCATATGGCTTTCATATTCGCACACATGACCTGAGTTATAAAATAAACGTAACGTTCTTCAGGGAGAAAATGTTTGTGATTGACCAGAGTCAATATAAACCCAAAAAAAAAGCCACTTTGTTTGCATACAAGTAATGACTGTCCGAGGTTACAGAAAAAACACAACAGACAGAGAAACTTGTGAACAGGCATGCAGTGGCAATGTGTGCCTTACATGGCAGTTCCAGGCCGGTGTGTCCTGTGGTGGTGCGGGACAATGGGGGAGAGTGGCGACCATCAGCCATATCTGACTCTGATTGATGGGCCTCTCCGTGCATCACTGCCAGCCCGAGTCGCAGTCTCTCAGCGTAGGACTGAGCTCTGCGATAGACAAACACGTAGACACACAAGAGTCAAATACACATACACACAAATATAGGCAAAAAAAAGTGGTGATGTGAAAAGACAAATGCACTATGAGAACGCTAAAGAAAGAAACTACAACAGTACGACAAGTGTAAATCTGAGAATGCAACTAGAAAATGTGAACGTTCAGGTTCTGACTGTCCCAGGATTTCTTGTTACCTCTTAGCAGCTGAAGGGGACTTTGCAACAATGACGGCATTCCTGTAGTCAGGGATCTGATTTAAAAAAAGAGAAACATTAGTTTTAGTTCTCCAACATCAAACTGACCTTTGAACTTATATCTGAATAAATATTGTCTGACTATAAATTAGTTCCAACACCATCATTGCTATGACACTACACTGTCCAGAGTACAGTGTAATATAGCCTCACCTCCTCCTGGATGTACTGGATGAGGAAGGGGGAAGCTCTCAGGTTGTCAACAGGGAAGCTGAAGAAGCCTTGGATTTCTTTCTGGTGGAGGTCCACGGTGATGATGTGCGTTAGCCCTGCAACACCAAAGACATACACATGCATGAGTTCAGAACACATTTCTGCAGTATTTGAAGCACAAATTTATAGAGGTCTTACAGAGGTATTTTGGTATAAAAATATAAATTGCCATGATGATTGTACACATAAATAGATTGCCCCCAGGTGCATCTGGTATTCAGTATAAAATTGGGAAATTCTAAGTTTGTAAAAAAAAAAAGTTCCAAGTAATGTGATACACTATTTAACACATCCCCTGGACTGTGCCTAACATAAATTATGCAACCAGGCTTGCATACTGTAATTTGAAAAGTGGCAAGTGGCTCTGTTATGTGCAGCTAAAGTTTAGGACAAAACTGAAGACTAGCTGAAACCTACAAAGACAGGACAAACTACACATTCCAACAACTTGCACAGAGTTTTTTTGTCTTTGACAGTCAGGTAGGAGCATAAACCTTAAGATTGACTAAATAAACTAGACAACACACTGACCATCCCGTAAATCCAGTGACAATGGTGGACAGCAACAGACAGCTTGCACTGTTTATATGCACTGACATTTGTGCTGAAAACGCCAAAAAGGAGAAAAAAGCCTGGAGTGTGGGTGATATTTTGGATGGAGAGCTGCAGGCAACGCAGACTGTATAGACTACAGAGGGAGTGGGGGTTAGTGAGCTTTATATAACAAAGCTAACTTAAGGGAAAGCTGAGGGTATGTCTCCCTCAGAACGGGTGATATCAGTGCCAATGTCAGTCGGAAAATACTAAACAAAAGGTTTTTGTGAGAATGACTGGCAGCGATTGGATCTGAAGACTTCCAATAGTATCTTTACATTTCGTATACTATAGAATTTTATTTTTCAGACTGTCAACACGTGACCCAGACTGGAATAAAACTAATCCAACTTGGACCATTTCATCAGGTTGCTTGCTACATTAGTCGGTTTTCTGACTTTAATCTGAGCTTTCATTCAGTCAGTATGAATAACAAATAATGACAAAGGAAATTACAACACACAGCACATACCAGCTTTAGCTAACATGGAAGCTAGCAGCTTGCAGACGATGGATCCTCTCTTCCTCATCTTGCACTGCTTGCTGTAAGGAAAGTAGGGAATGACCCCGATGATGTTCTTGGCACAGGACGTTTTCAGGGCATATGCCATAACCAGCAGCTCCATGATGGCCGTGTTGACATCTCTGAGAAACAACACATTCAATTCAAGAGACTATATCAGACATCACAACCCACTAAAGCGCTCTGCTGGTGTGCAATTAGTCTGAGCCAAACAGGCACAGATGGATATGTTGATGGCGACTGATGAGTCAGCAGTGTCATGTTTGTTTACAAGATTATCATCCCATAAACCACTCTGTAAATAAAGTAAACCATGTAAAACTGTTTTTACTACCATTGTTTTTATGTGGCCTTTTATTGGAATAATAATAATAATTGATCAAGTTTCTATGAAAGAAACAAATAGCAAATTGTGTAGATAAACATGACCTAGATACAAAGTTCTGTTCAGGAACAACATCTGAAAGTAAGAAAGGATTGGTTGACAGAACATTTTTAAATCACCATCCCCACTGGCAAGAAATCAAAACTCTGTTACTGTGGTGGATTTTGATACACAACCATGATGGTTGTCATTTTGATGCCTATGACAGTTTCACTACTTGGTATGTAACAGGATACTGGATACAGCCATTTTGGCATCGACAGCTTGTTAAAAAAACAGATATCTCAGACAGGTGGGTCAGTGGACTGCTGGATCTGTACACGCTCGATACAGGAAGCTGCAAAATGTGAAGTCCTGTCATGTGAACTATTATCTTTCAGAGCATACCTCATCGTCATAGCAAATAACTGATTAACAAGGACAAACAGAAGACTCATCTGGTTAAAGTGAAATGGCCACAGAGGTGTGGCTTTACGGGCTGTAAAATCAAAACAGAGAGGCAAAAGACTGCGAGTGACAGTTTGGAGTTTGGTGACATTTCTCTGAAGGGGTTCATCACATTGTACATAGTGATATACTTCTTTGTTAATATAAAGCATTAAGGTATCAAGAGCACTGTTGTGTCTCACCTGGGAATGGTCTGAATGATAAAGATGTCTTGTCCACGGACAGACTCTTTCACATCCACTCTAGTCTCTGAAAACAAAAACACAAAAACACAATCATAGTGGGTTCAAGTGCAAAATCAAGAAGACACTAAAGCACAGCTAATTAATCTAGGACATTAATTGTGGAAATTGGGGACTTGAGGATATTTATCAGCCTTACCTTTATTTGACTCCTGATAAACCACTGACTTTCCCAACTCCACACCCAAGCGTCTGGATAAAACAAACAGATCACAAAGTGTTAAAAATATAAAACACACACCTTTATGTGTTCCATTAATAGATGTAGTAGATGGAGGGCTCTGGGGAAACAAAATGTGGAAGCCATAAAGGATGCCTGTTAAGGTTTGGTTCAGTTCAGTAGACCAGCTTCAAAGAGTAAAACATCAAAACATTCACAAAAAACACATTATGAACACAGTTGTGCCTAGGGCGGAAAATGATGCGGTTCATTTGAAAACCGACCCATCACAGAACAGTGCCAATATTAAAGAATGAACTTGATGGCTCTTTAAAGCACGCCACAGCTGAGTGAGAGCTTGGCTTGGTGACAGTCTCTGCCAGGACAGTCAGCATTGATCCCGCTAGACAAAACAGGCCTCTCTGCCTCTGTAGCCTCGGCCTGTTTACATCCCTCAACCTTCCGATATTTGACATAATACCATCATTTATTATGATGACGGTACCTTCAAGTGAGACAAATAAAAAAGAACAATCAAAGGATATGGGATTTGTGCTTGAAGTATTATTTCTGTTCATATTTCCATTTTCCTAACAAGGGAAAGACCCAGTTTGGAGAAGGTATAAACAACCTTATTAATCACATTCAGTGAAGAAATACATGGTTAAAAAAAAAAACTTTAGTTTAGTTGACTTTAGTTGCAGGGGTGTTTAAACCACAGCCCAGTCACCACATGCACCACTGAGTAAAATTCAGTACAGAAATCATTGACATTTTCTGTGTGCTGATGCTGATGTTGTAATTTAACCTTTGCCCTGCAAGAAAACTCTATTTGGCCTCCCCAATAATGTTCTGCAATGTTGCCAAACAGTGTAAACTGAGAAAGTTAAGTTGTTTTTCACTATCTGAGCAATGCAACTTGGCTGTCTGACAAGTCTAACCAGTCTGAAGGTCTGCTCCCTGATTTCCACAAGGAAACAACAAGACAACATATCAGTCAGTGTTTTTATAAGGACTACAAACTGACAAACAAACTTCCTGTTTTTATTTAATCTTACCTGGTATCACTTGTTTTTCTACTGAGCCAGCCAATACCCTTTTAAATGCCCTATGAATCACTGCCTAGTAAATGATGTCTGCCTGCCAAAGTAACAACCAGTGTACAATAAGTGTGCCGTGCTTAGACCCTTAACAGACCGGTATCTGCACAGTAAACTCCTTTCATCGCAGTTATTCTCACTGACAGGTCCTCCTAAATCTTCTACGCCAAGAGAAATATAGAATTAATCATAGCCTAATAATATTTCATCTTCACTGTACAGTGTATGTGCACAGCATGTTGTTCATCTGCAATTACACTTAAGGGAAATGATGATTAAGGGAAAAAGAGCTTAAGACTTAAAAGAGCCTTATAGTGAATGCTAGAACAAGGGTTTAGTCAATTCTTTGAAGGTTGAATGACTTCGAAGTTTCCAATATTTGGTAGTATTTTCTGCCAAAAATTCCTTCGGATGATATTCATACCAACAAAATTAACCTTTTGTCCCACTATTGTCCCAAATTCTACTTTCAATTGTCCCAGACTTGACTTAACATTGTCCCAAATTGAAGTTTTATAATTCATTCTACATAATGAATATACTAGTTTTTACTTTATTTCAGTAACTCGCCTCAACATTTGACTCACTCTGGTCCGCCATGGAAGTTCTGCTAGTTGTTGCCTGCACTTCTATCTGAATAAAACATTTAAATTACCTGAGGTGTTTAGCCACAATCAGTTTTCATTATTTACTTTGTTATTGGTTGAGTTACTGTTTCTTGTTCATTTTTAACAGTTGGATCAATAAATGCATCACTGCCAACTGCAGTGCAAATTTACACAGATGATTTGAACATTAATATTGTTAATATTATAACAATCACAAATTCACAATCAAAACATGAATGGGTTAAGTACAAAAGGTAAAAAGAAATCTTCAAAGGGAATATTAACAAACTATTTAAATATTTACAAGTTCAAACTAACTATTTACATATAAGATAAAGGAACACCGTAATCCAGAGATCCGGAAAGAAAGAGAGAGAGAAGGTCAAATGTGCCACACCTACTGACTGCCTGCATATGGCGAGGAAGAGGAGAGGAAGAGACCCCGGCGATGTTGGCAGAAAAGGCATGGACTGCAATTACTCTGAGCAGCATGCATGGGAATGAATTACAATATAACTGACTATATTTCTCACCTTTTCCTGAATTTGTTGTTAGTCACGTTTTATTAATAATGTAACTAAGAAGGCCTAAAAAGTCACTAAATCTAGCGCAAAAGTCAAATTGGCAACACAATGATTGATTTTGTGTGCGTAAGCACTCATGTGGCGTAACCTAGAGCTGTAGTCACCTCATTTCTCAAATTTGAACGTCTAACAATTGTGTAACTGTTCTATATTCTGCACACACACAATAACTTCATTTGTAATGATACATTTCTATATTGTCCCAGAGACTTTATTCTCAGGACATCCTTACTTTTGAGTGCTGTCCTAAAGGTAGTGTCATAGCAAGGTTTAAATCACATTTTTAAACAGAAAGAAGTGACACCTCTCCAAGAACAGTCCCTACCAATATCTCTGAAGTTAAGTCATATTAGATCATTCTGATGTGGCCTCCCAGGGGGCAAATGTCCCAGCATCTGATTGGTTGAAAAGGAGGGGACTGGGGAGGGGAGCTGATCCATTTGCTGACAATGATAAGTTAGGGCTGTAGGGGTAATGTTGCTGTGTCCATAACAACTTAAGCACTTCGACCACTTAAACCTAAAGCAATACATCATAAATTGATGCTGAGCCTTGTTTGTAAGGGTATACGTTTCAGTTGCAAGTGACGAGCTAAAAGTGATAGATATCAGACAAACAGATAACTAAAACTATTTTGCAGTATTTGTTTATATAAACAGTGTACCACCTGCCATGTGCCATCATGCCTTTATGTTAGCCTATGATTTCCACACTATATGCAGTGTTTGTTGGTAGGCTTTTACCTAACTTCACTGCATTACATTCAAAACAATACACACCCAGCGGCCTCAGTTTCACCTGCAGCTTTGACCCCCAGGTGCACTGTCAGGGTACATGGCAGGTAAAAAATAAATAAATAAATAAATAAATAAATAGGCCAATCCTCAAAATTCGAAAGATGAAATGACATTAATCATGATGGTATTGTATAAACCTCACTTACTCTGTGATCTTCTTGGCTAGCTCGGTGCAGGCGGTGGTGGAGTTGGCAGAAAAAACACGGTAGCCAGTTCTTGAAATATTCATTTTCCTGTAACCATACGACAGCTTTGGAGAGAGAGAGACCAGAGACTTGTGACCCCCAAAACGCCTAATAGGCATTGTTCTTTGGAGTCAATGTGATATGTGTTTACGTTTCCCCCACAAAGATCGTCAAACTCGTCCGTTATTAGCCTACCAGAGGAGCAGCTTTCACACTAAAATCTAAACTCTGCGTAGTTTACACTGCCACCACCATCTTTAAGTCAAAAAAACAAAACAAAATCCACTGCAGCTGTGTAACGCAACCCTGTATATAACCTAAAATAACAGAGAGCACATGCTCCACATGTAACGTGGGAGCAACACTCGTGCTGTTGATAGCGAGTCAACAACCACAACTAGAAACACAAAAACCCCGGACTAACACAACGACAGCAGAGGGAAAGCTGAGCTCTGTGTTTCCATGCGGGCCACTGAGTCTCATCGTCTCCAGGACACACACACCGGTTTATTTTACCATGAAGACGCACTAAATGTTACAAAAAAAACTTCGAGGGCGCTGTAACAATGTTGTAAATTCAGAACTCCGCCGGTAGCATTCAAATGTAGCTACTGTAAACTTTGTAGCAATGCGGTGGCAGCAGGGGAGAAGACGCCACGAGCACACGTTCATTGGGTGGATGAAAAGAGGGAGTGACGTTGAAGAGAACCAATCACAGACTAGAGGGTAACAACAGAGGGTGGGGACGATATAATGCCGACCAATCAGCGCCTGGGGTTCGTGTGACCTACAATTAAAGCGCAACGATCGAAAAGCGGTGAGAAAGTTTTTTTGCCCCAAATCTACAGGCAACTCAACAAGAAGTAAACACACTGTAAAATACTTGTTTACAAGTAAACCCTGCATTCAATTCTTTATCAGCAAAATAGAAAAAGTGCCCATTGTGCAGAGTGCTGTAGTTGTCACATTGGTGGTGCATTATTAATGATAAATGAATAGAATAATCATAATAATAATCATAATGTTTAGTATGTCAAATCTGACTGGGTGAAAGGGTGTAGCATGGAATTAGCCAAGCTTTTAGATAAATGTAGTGGAGGAAATAGTACTGTATTTTCCTCTGAAATGTAGCAGATAAGTGTAAAGTAAAAATGTAGTTTATACTGCATATGGTGTATATATTTTAATTATGGTCTCTATATTTTCTATTATATCTTTATAATATTTTTAGTTAGTATTCTTTATTGTATTTTTACACTCTTCTACACTTTTTGCACTATATTTCTCCTGTGCTGCTGTGTCAAACTTGAATTTCTCCCACGGGGGATCGATAAAAGAACATCTTATCTTATCTTAAAGTAGCATGAAATGGAAATACTCAACTACAGTGCAAGTAAGCACATATCCTACTTGAAAAATGTTCATTCCACCAATGTTCTTCCAAGGATTTTAACGCAGGCTTAAAATACTAGCCTGCTAAAGTCAGTTTTAAGCTTCATTGGATTAGTGGGAACCTTATTATGATAATATGTAGATGTGCACATTTAGGGTAAAATCCAATTTCATAGTTCTTTTGAAAAATTACTCTTAATGAGTCACCAATTCATAAAGCTGTATGTGGTATAAATGACACTTACATTGTAAGTTGAATGATGGTGATGATTAGCGTGATTATGTACTGTATACTGTCAATGTGATGAACCCACACAAACTTGGCTTAAAATTATTTCTTTTTGTATTGTCTTTACATGCTTTGATTTTATACAACATGGCAGTGTTGTGGGGACTTGTGGGGAAAAATAACATTTTAATTTAAATCATTTTTATGAACAACATATAGAAAAAAAAACACCCTGTAAATCAGTGGAACATAAAGTGCTCCTGTCATGAAATCCATGTTTGTGTAATACTGTAACTTTAACCTATGACAGTATGACATCTGGAAGTAACCATTCATAATGAGGATGTTGACATACAGTTGACTAATAACCGTTTTATAGCAAAAGTAATGTAACACACCTAATCATTTCAGTAAAAATATGTGTAAAAGTGCTTACCAGTCAATGTACAGTGGGTCACTAAAATATAATTTTACTTCTATTTTAATCAAAATGTCTTCACATTGAAAAATAAGTAAAGTCATTAATATGTTAATGCTACAGGATTTTCAAAAACCTTGAGCTGCACTATAACCTTAATGTTAAATGCCTAAATATACATCTTTGCACCAAGAATGGTGTCCCTTAGACTGTGAACAGGACTCGTTAAAACATACTGCTGTTGGTGTCACATTAAGAATGCATTTATCCACTTTTGTGCAACAGACCAACTTGGCACACCTGTCCACAGCCAGTTTTGGCTCAGTGTATCACCACACCCAAGAAACCGCACCCTTTTCTGCATACTATTTCTTAGATGACACTCCAGTAATTGCAGCACTTTTAAATCCTCATGCAGTTTGTGGGATCTGTGGAACTGTTGCCATCTATATGGATCAGCAGCTGGTTTAGGCAAATATTGCAGCTTTTAAACACTGTCAGCAGTTTTATGTGTCTTTTGGTATTCACTTAAGTTCGACAAAGGCAACTGCACATCTTCCATTAGTCTCCTCCATTTCAAATATTCACTGTTCCTTTCTTTGATCAGATTTTGTTCGGTTATGTTAGCAGGTCTTTGACCTACATGTAACAACCAACAACCATTGTTCTTTTCACTTCTAGTTTCTTTGTTTTCTTTCCTCTTTTTAGAGTCGACCACGTTTTTTTTCTGTATTACATGTTTGACTCTTTTTTTTAAGATGGCATTAAAATTCAGGTGATACAGTTTTCCTCTGTCAGCCTTTTAGCACTTTCTCTTTTAGCAGGTCCAAGATGACCTGCCTCTCTTGGCTCTCCAGCTCAAATCTCCGTTCCCTCTCTTTTCTCTCAGCTCCCAGACGCTCCCTCTCCAGAGCGATCTTACCTGAGAATAAAAGAAAAACAGAGAAATTAAATCTGTAATTCAGTGCCTCTTGAGGATAATGGCAGCATCAACAGTGAGCATATACAGCAATTATTTCCTCCTTTATTATGAGATCAGCAAAGAAAACTTTGATCCTTTTCAACTGACATTTATAACTGCCTTGCATTATAAATGGCCTTGCATCAGCAGACAGGATTTAATGCCTATTTTAGTTACAATTGATGCCCTAATAACAAGTTGTGGCTTTAAAACTAATTAAAACCCACTTTGCAAGATGATAATATCCACATAACATGACAAATATTTGAACCCCCTTACATTTAAAATCACACAAAATCACACTTCACTACTCACTACTGTGAAAATCTTACTCCTTTGAATCTCTAGCTCCTCCCGGCGCAGAGCGAGCTCCTCCTCTCGCAATCGCTGCTCCGCCTCTGAGCGTTTCTCCAGGAAGCTGAGAATCTCAGAATACGTCTGGCAGCAGCACTGGCAGGGCTGTTTGGCCATGGGCGCCGCTGAAAGCTCTGCCATTTCCTCGCGGTCTTCTTCTGGTTCTGCTGTGACAGTATGTTCAAATGTACAGACTTTTGAAGGCAACAGTCAGTGACACACATGAGGGCAAATACTTGCTTATATAGGCTTCAACTTGAAATTGAAGGATGGAGTTGGGGCATTTAAGCTACACCCAAGTCTGTTTTTTGAGTTGGAAACACTCCCTTGTAGAAAATAGTAGGTCAGAAAATAAATAATTTGGAATCACAGCGTAGGGTCCACCGTACCTGTTGTCACGTCAGTGAATCAAATCGAAGCAGCTTACTACTGTTTGTGCTATCTACACAACGTTTTTGTCTAAACTATGTTTTTGTCATAGAAACATCTGAGTTACATGTTATTAGAGATGTGGCGACACATCCAAGCTGACTACAGCCTTTATTCTCAATAAAATAAAACAAAAAAGAAGCTACATTTTAAGACCACATCAGGTAAATTATGTACCTTTTTAAAGACAGGTTTTGTATGATTTACATTTGTTTTATTAGCTGATTGACTTAATGATTTCTTCCGTTACTTTTCACTTTTGTTTACACTGCATTACAGATAGTTAAATTGTAAAACCGGTGTCTTATGACAAAATTAGCGAATGTGCAAACCCATCATCATTAAAGAGAATGGTGTGCTGTGACTAAAAACACACAATATAATAGCTACCTCAAATACCACATACCTGTAGAAATAACTGGAGGCAATAATGAATATGTTATCTTTTAACTATGTGTTAAACAAGTGACATCTCCTGTCTTTTGCTCTGAATCAGTTTTTACCTGCAGTGGGTGTTTGTGTGATACTGACGTTGGGTTTGTCTTGCTCTGGTAGAGTTAGTTCTTCTATGGCTCGCTTTCTCAGTTCATCCTCCTATAGGAAAGATGAGGACACAATTACTTATCACTTCTCCAACCATAAAAACAAATAAATAAGAAAATCAAATGACGATATGACCGCAGAAACTATAGCAGGTGTTACCAATAATAGCGCCAAGTTATAGTAAAAGAAACACTTAATAATATACTTAATAATATTAGTAAGAGTAGTAACAAAAAGTGTAGTTGTAGCAGCAGTAAGTGTCAGGTTACTTGTGACTAGTGCCACCAGGAGGAAGAAAGAGGAAATGACCAAGTAGTTGCAGAGAACATAGATAGATAGATAGA